CATTATTATTATTTTTATTTTCTTTAAATTAAATTAAATAAAAATCTAAAAAATTCAAATACAAAAAAAAAGAAAAATAAAAATAATAAGAATAAAATTAAAAATACTTGGGTGTTACAACTCTCCCCCCCTTAAAGAAATTTGGTCCCCCAAATTTGCCTCTTACTCTTGGTCAAACAAATGGGGATACTGGGCTCTAAATTCTGATTCTAGCTCCCAGGTAGCCTCCCTGGGCGTGTGGTTCTGCCACACGACCTTTACAAATGATATTTTCCGGTTGCGGAGTATTCTGCTCTTTCGGTCCGTGATACTGACTGTTACTTCTTCATAAGACAAGTCATCTTGGAGTGGAAGCGGTTCATGAGCCAAGACATGAGAAGGGTCCGGGTTGTACTTACGTAGCATGGATACATGGAACACGTTGTGGACTCTGGAGAGCTCTGGAGGCAGTGCTAGTCTATAGGCAACAGTACCAATCCTGTCTAAGATTTCAAAAGGTCCAATATATCGGGGGTTTAATTTTCCCCTCCTGCCGAACCTACTAATTTCCTTGAAATGAGTGACCTTAAGAAACAACCGGTCGCCTTTCTCAAACGCTAGGTCTCTCCTTCGGGTATCTACATAACTCTTTTGCCTACTCTGAGCTATCTGAATGTTCTTCCTGATTTTAACTATTTTGGACGTGGTCTCTTCTACCAACTCCGGGCCGAACAATCTTCTATTGCCCACTTCCTCACAACAAATCGGTGATCTGCACGGGCACCCATATAACGCTTCATATGGAGCCATGCCGATGCTTGCTTGGTAGCTGTTGTTGTAGGCAAACTCTATCAGGGATAGATGGTTGTCCCAATGGCCCCCAGAGTCCAGGACACAAGCTCACAGCATATCCTCAAGCGTACGAATTGTCCTTTCTGATTGTCCATCAGTCTGGGGATGGAAGGCTGTACTAAGAGACAATTTTGTTCCCATAGCTTGCTGGAAGCTACTCCAAAACCGAGAAGTGAACTTGGGATCCCTGTCGGATACTACTGTCACTGGAACCCCATGCAATCTGACTATCTCCTGGATATACATCTTTGCCAACTTGTCCAATGAATCGGTCATCCTGATGGCTAGAAAGTGGGAAGACTTGGTAAGTCGGTCAACGATTACCCATGTGGCATCATGTCTTGAACGTGCCTTGGGTAGCCCCGATACGAAGTCCATGGTGATATGTTCCCACTTCCACTCCGAGATCGGTAAAGGCTTAAGTAACCCACCTGGGCACTGATGCTCTGCCTTGACCTGCTGACATACCAAGTATTTAGATACAAAGTCGGCTATGTCTCTCTTCATCCCATGCCACCAAAACTGGGGTCGCATGCTTTGGTCCATTTTGGTGCTTCCTAGATGCATGGCAAACTTCGAGCTATGGGACTCCGTCATGATGTCTCTTTTTAACTCGCTGTCATCTGGGACACACACCTTGTCTTGGAAACAAAGTAATCTATCGGCAGAGATTCAGAATTCTGAGCTCCCTTCCTATTCTGTATCCTTCTTGCGGGTTACTAGGGCGGGGTTGACTGACTGGGCTTCATTTATTCTTTGGATTAACTCGGGTTGGACTGCTAGGTGGCCCAAACATGTGACCCTCTTCAGATATCGCAGTCGGACCTGCTGCGTGGCCCCAATGGACCTGCATTCTGAAACCATTGAACGGGCTAGGGTGCCTGCACTTTTCCTGCTGAGGGCATCGGCTACTACGTTGCCCTTACCTGGATGGTATAAGATATCACAATCATAGTCCTTAAGGAGTTCCATCCACCTTCTCTGACGCATGTTGAGATCCTTCTGAGTGAATATGTGTTTCAAACTCTTATGATCAGTATAGATCTAAAAGGTCTCTCCATACAAATAATGGCGCCAGGTTTTCAAGGCGTGAATGATTGCGGCAAGCTCCAAGTCATGGGTGAGATAGTTCTTCTCATGATTCTTTAACTGTCTGGACCCATATGCTATAACCTTTCCATGCTGCATCAGGACACAACCCAGGCCCAGATAGGAGGCATCGTTATAAACTGTATATCCTCCCGATCCACTCGGTAAAGCCAGCACGGGTGCAGTGGTCAGCCGCTTCTTTAATTCTGAAAAACTTCTTTCGCAGTCCTCATTCCACTCAAACTTGGCATTCTTCTATGTGAGTCGGGTTAGAGGAGCTGCTAGACTGGAGAATCCTTCAACGAACCTGCGGTAATAACCTGCCATTCCCAGGAAGCTATGGATTTCCTTAACTGATGTCAGCTTCTCCCAGCCAAGTACCGCTTCAACCTTTTCGGGATTCACTGATACCCCTTCCTTCGATATGATGTGTCCTAGGAAGGCGGTCTGCTCAAGCCAGAATCCACACTTACTCAACTTCGCATATAACCTCTTGTTTCTATGGACCTGCAAAACTTGGGCAAGATGGTGAGCATGTTCTTCTCTGTTTTTTGAGTAGACTAAGATGTCATCGATGAACATGATGACAAATTGATCCAAGAACTCTCTGAAGACCCTGTTCATCATATCCATAAAGATTGCCGGGGCATTGGTTAGCCCGAATAGCATGACCAGGAACTCATAGTGTCCGTACCTGGTTTGGAAGGCCGTCTTGGGGATGTCTTCTGTTCTTATTTTCACCTGATGATAACCTAATCGTAGGTCTATTTTAGAGAAGACTTGTGCACCTTACAGCTGATCAAAGAGGTCATCAATCCGGGGAAGGGGATACTTATTTTTGATCGTAACCTTGTTAAACCCTCTGTAATCAATGCACAGTCTCAACGTTCCATCTCTCTTCCTTGCAAAAGTGACTCTAGCACCCCAAGGGGACACACTGTGTCTAATAAAATCACTGTCTTGCAATTCAGTGATCTGTTTCCTCAGCTCTTCTATCTCAATGCGGCTCATGCGGTAAGGAGCAACCGAAATGGGCTGGGTACCTGGCTGTAGGTCTATAGTGAACTCGACTTCTCTGTCCACTAGCAGACCGGGCAGTTCGTCCGGAAACACATCTGGAAAGTCTCGAACTACCGAAATCTCTTGAATTTAAATTTCCTTCTTGGGCTTGCCTAGTCAGAGAAAATAGCAAGATTAAGGCACTAGAAGTTAAGAAAACTTGCCATCAAGGAATAAGTACTGAATAATTTTATTAATTTGTAAATGGCTCCTCGTTAGGAGGATTAAATACAACTTTCTTGTTAAAGCAATCTATGGTGGCGTGATACGCCGCTAGCCAATCCATTCCTAAGATTACATTAAAATCCCCTGCGTCTAACCCTACCAAGTCTACACTCAGTTTCCTATTTGCTATCTCTACGGCACAAGCCCTATAGATAACTTCTCCTAGTAGTGTTTCACCCCTGGCAGTAGACACAAACAAGAATGAATCAAGTTTATCAGGTGATACATTAATTTTAGAAGCAAAAGCA